TTGGTGCTGTACGCCAGGTCGCAAACGGGTTTTGATTCCTTACCCGTACCCGTACCCGGCCACACCAGGGTCGCAAACGGGTACCCGTACCCGGCCGTACCCGTACGGGTAGGGTACGGGTATCGGGTACCTGATTGCGACCTCTGGGATGAAGCCATGTTGCAGGCGCGGGTGGGTTGATTCTAGGAACTTGAATTGTGAGAAGAGACAAGACGTTGGGAAATGAGTGACAAACGGTGACTCACCAGTGACTCACGGCCTACCCGTACCCGGCCGCACCAGGGTCGCAAACGGGTATCCGTACCCGGCCAGGTACGGGTAGCCGGGTATCGGGTAGGGTACGGGTATCGGGTACCCGGTTGCGACCTCTGCTGTACGCCTTTTGGCGTCCTCTGGTCGAGCACTAATTGGGCAGAGGCTCAAAAGAAAGCCGTCCCTTGGTGTGGACCAATCAGTTTCAAGAACAATGCACACATTATCATCGTGTGTTTTTTGTTTGCATTTTGGCCGCAAGTGTTGTGGTTAATGCAAACATGATCCCTTGTATAAAGGTGTCAGTTTTGGTGCCAGTTAAAAGGGTAAAAACCTATTACTATATTTTGCTACTGGCAAAGGAGGTCCCATAATGTAAAAAACTTTTGTTCGGCCTCATCGAGGGGGCTAAACGGGCGCGGCACGGGCTAGAGAAGAGATGGAGTGATGTGGTACAGGAGGACGTGGAGCTGAGTAGACTTGCCGATGAACGGTACCAGCGGTGTCAAGATTGGCCTTTTTGGAGGCTTGTGGCCTCAACGTGCACCTAGCCTGGCACAACAGTTGTGGTGACGTCCCCGCGGTTGTTGTTGTGTGTGTGTGTCATAACGAGCGGAGCGCCGGGTGGCTAAAGCACAGCAAGTTGGTACAGTAGGGGGCATAGGTGGTGCATCAGCCAGTCATCTCGGTCATCTCGGTCAGTTGACCCGTGGCACCTGCTGGGTCTGCCCCGTGACCTGCCAGCGGGCGTTCGACACTTCACGTGGCCTCAAGGTGCACATGGCCTGGCACAAGCGTCGTGGTGACGTCACCGCCACTTAGTGGCGAATGGCGGTTGTTGTTGTTTTTGTCATAAATCCTCGTAAAAAAGGCGTCAGTTTTGTTGCCAGACAAAAGGGGAAATAATCTATTATTATATTTTGGTACTGGCAAAGGAGGTCTAATGGTATAACACAGTCGTGTTAAGATGTAAAAATACAAAACGGAAACCTTTCGCACGGAGTCGTCTCGCTGCGTTGACCACACGCGGGTCTTGTCGTGAACACGCAATAAAAATTAACCCGTAAAAACAAAGTTTTTCACTATAAATCCTTTATATGCGTGGCATCGGGGCGGCTAGAGTCCTCTCGTCCTCTGGCTTGAGATGGCTGCCACCTATGGGTCAGATGATTGTCTGGCAGCATTAAATAATTGGTAATTAAATCTTTTTTTTCTTTCCCTAAAAAGTGTAAAATTTTAGAAAAATATTTTCACGAAAATGCATTGTCACGCACAACGAGTCTGTGTGCAAAATGTCAGCTCGATTGGATCACGGGAAGTGGGTTAAAAAACGACCGAAAAATTTGCACGGTCCTAAGCAAGCAAGCGAACTTAATATAAAGGATTTAAAACAACAAACACGCTATGCTGGTCCTTGATGATGATGATGACGAATTGTCTTATGAAACTGATTGGTCCACACCAGAGACAGCTTTCTTTTCTTGCCAAGGGCCATTTGGATATTTATATAACATCATTCGCGGGGACATACAACATTATCAACTTAAACATTCGCCTGTTACTTGATGCAGTTAATTTTAGCTGTGACGGTCCCACCTGATGACGGAGACTTGTGTTGCCTCCGAAACGTCGTGATTTTTATTATTTTATTTTATTTCTATCATTGCTTTTAGTAATCTTCTTGGTTCTTTCGGTAAAGTCACGTAGAAGGGATGTAATAAAATAATAAAAATAATTCAATAAAACAATTCTCACGACGTTTCGGCCACAACGCAAGCAGCCATCCTCAGGTGAAAACCAGGTCTGTCGAGGCGACAGCGTTTTCACCTGAGGACGGCTGCTTGCGTTGTGGCCGAAACGTCGTGAGAATTGTTTTATGATGTTTTATTTTTATTAGTTTATTACTTCCCTTCTACGTGACTTTACCGAAAGAACCAAGAAGATGAATCCCTGCAGTCTCGAAAGCTTTAAATTGCTTTTAGTAATTTTTTTATTTTATTTTTTACCTACGTGACTTTACCGAAAAAACCTAAGAGTATGAATTCGCCTCTTATCTTTGGTCAACCGTTTCATGAACTCGCCCCTAACGCGATGGACTGGAACTGCGTGTGATGATGTTAGCTGCTGGTATTGACGATGTTGCTGCTACTCGCAACTGCTTTTCCAGGTTTGCTCCGAGATTTCTTGAATTTCGAGTCCATGCCAGCGGTTGCCTTGGCAGGGCCCAGACCCAAATGATTTCGCGGTCCTCATACAGCCCCGCGGACCTGACGTTCCTCACCCCAGCTTCAGAGCCGAGTCTCACTAACAGTGCTACACCAGGGGACAACGGCAAAAGGCGAACACCACAAAGACATATTCTTAGGTGTTTTCGGTAAAGTCACGTAGGTAAAACATTAAAATTAATAAAAGTAAAATAAAATAAAAAATCACGACGTTTCGGAGGCAACGTCGTGATTTTTATTTTATTTTACTTTTATTAATTTTAATGTTTTACCTACGTGACTTTACCGAAAACACCTAAGAATATGAATCCTTGCAGTCACGAAAGCTTCAAATCTAGCACAAAGACAATGCCACCCTCAGGACATTTATAGCTCGGGGCGAGCAGCTACATCACGGGACCTCGCTTGCCAGCATCAACACAGAAGAATAGCGCAATGAACCAAACTCCAAATATACAGCAGCAGGCGTCAGGGTCGGGATCGAATCCACGACCTCCTGTACACCAGGCGAGGTAGTTAACATCTCTTAGCCACCGTGATGATGATGAGAGAGAGAGTGAGACACGCAAACTCCAAATATCCAGGCATCGTCAGAGTCTGTATCGAACCCACGACCTCCTTTCGAGGCATAAGCAATTAGGAAGTAACACTTACTACCCAGGCACAACAAATAAAACGTTGTCACACAAAGCATTCCTTTTTTCGATTTAACGCTTTCGTGACTGCAGGGATTCATCTTCAAGTTGTGGCCGAAACGTCGTGAGAATTATTTTATTGGTTTATTTTTATTATTTTATTATTTCCCTTCTACGTGACTTTACCGAAAGAACCAAGAAAATGCATTCCTTTCCCCTGTCTCTCTCTCTCTCTATCCCATTGTTGCAGGAACGCGCGCAAGTAAAGGACGGCAAAGACGCGAAGAGAGGAGGGGTGGCCGAGTGGCCTTGGTCAACAATGAGATGGGAGCGAGCGACCGTTTCCCCAGGTACACACACAGGTACACACGCATAGGTACACACACAGGTACACACACAGGTACACACACATAGGTACACACAGGTACACACACATAGGTACACACACACAGGTACACACAGGTACACACAGATACACACGCATAGGTACACACACACACAGGTACACACAGGTACACACGCATAGGTACACACACACACAGGTACACACAGGTACACACGCATAGGTACACACAAGTACACACAGGTACACACACACAGGTACACACACACACAGGTACATACACACACAGGTACACACACACACAGGTACACACAGGTACACACACAGGTACACACAGGTACACACACAGGTACACACAGGTACACACACAGGTACACGCACAGGTACACACACACACAGGTAGACACACACACACAGGTAGACACACAGGTACACACACACAGGTACAGACAGGTACACACACACAGGTACACACAGGTACACACAGAGGTAGACACACATACAGGTAGACAGACATACACAGGTAGACACAAAGTTAGACACACACAGGTAGACACACACACTGGTTACACACACAGGTACACACACACAAGTACACACAGGTACACACACACACGGGTACACACACACACAGGTACACACACACAGGTACACACACAGGTACACACACACACAGACACACACAGGTACACACACAGGTACACACACAGGCACACACACAGGTACACACACACACAGATACACACACACAGTTACACACACAGGCACACACACAGGTACACACGCACAGGTACACACACACACACACAGGTACACACACACACAGGTACACACACACACACAGGTACACACACACACAGGTACACACACACAGGTACACACACAGATACACACACACACAGGTACACATACACAGGTACACACAGGTGCACACACACACCGGTACACACACACACAGGTACACACACAGGTACACTCACACAGGTACACTCGCACAGGTACACACGCACAGGTACACACACACACACACACAGGTACACACACACAGGTACACACACACACAGGTACACACACACACAGGTACACACACACAGGTACACACACACAGGTACACACACAGGTACACACACACAGGTACACTCACACAGGTACACACACACACAGGTACACACACACAGGTACACACACAGGTACACACACACCGACACACACACACACAGGTACACACACAGGTACACACACACAGGTACACACACACAGGTATACACACACAGGTATACACACACAGGTACACACAGGTGCACACACACACCGGTACACACACACAGGTACACACACAGGTACACACACACCGACACACACACACAGGTACACACACACACAGGTACACACACAGGTACACACACACAGGTACACTCACACAGGTACACACACACAGGTACACACACACCGACACACACACACAGGTACACACACACATACACACAGGTACACACACACACAGGTACACACACACACAGGAACACACAGGTACACTTCACCTACCTCCGCCTTCCGTCATGTCTTCTTCGTGTCTTCAGAATTACTGAAGATTTAGTTGACGATCCAGTTTGTATCTGTGTGGGTGTGTGGATGTGTAGGTGTGTGTGGGTGTGTGTGGGTGTGTGCGTGTGGTGTGGGTGTGTGTCTACCCCTGCATGGGTTTGTATACGTGTGTTAGTCTTCGTGTGTCTCTATGTGTGTGTGTCTCTGTGTGTGTGTGTCTATATGTGTGTGTGTTTCTATGTGTGTGTGTGTATCTATGTGTGTGTGTGTATCTATGTGTGTGTGTCTATCTGTGTGTGTATCTATGTGTGAGTCTGCGTCTCTCTGTGTGTGTGTCTCTCTAAGTGTGTGTGTCTGTGTGCGTGCCTCTTCGTGTGAGTCTGTGTTTGTGTCTCTACGTGTGAGTGTGTGTGTCTCTCTGCGTGTGAGTGTGTGTGTATCTACGTGTGAGTCTGTGTGTCTCTACGTGTGTGTCTACGTGTGAGTCTCTGTGTGTGTGTCATTTTCCACACCCCCACACCCCCACCCCACCACCACCACCCCTCCCCTCGGGAACTTACGTAGCTTTTCTTTGTGAGCGACATCTGCGAATCTAAATCTACACACGAAGACAAAGATCCCCCGTATAGCCTTAACAGACTGTAGGGGCAAGTGCTGTTAGCGAGCACCTATGAATGCCGGCACGGCACACGAGGGGGTGGGTGGCCAGCACCACGCCCGGCCGCCTTTGTCTCCCCAGTGGCAATGTTTACTACACAATGCACCAGGTACTCATTTGAGGCTGAGTCGACACACACAGATACACAAGCACAGACCCATACACAGACATCACCACAGGTAAACACAGAGACACATATACAAAGACAAAGACCCCCCGTATAGCCTGTAACAGACTGTAGGGGCAAGTGCTGTTAGCGAGTAGCACCTATGAAGGCCGGCACGGCACACGAGGGGGTGGGTGGGTAATGCCAGTACCACGCCCGGCCGCCTTTGTCTCCCATTGCTGGCGTTTAATACACGCAACACACCAGGTACTCGTGTTTTAAGGCTGAGTAGACCTAGGGGAGGCCAGAAACCGGTTCATAGCGCACCGCGCTAACCACTGCATTTCCGCTCCCCACGCGCATACTTACACACACACGTGTTGACACACACACACACGTGTTGACACTCACACACACGTGTTGACACACGTGTTGTCACACACGCACACACGCATGGGCATGCACGCACACACGCACTGTCACACGCACACACACGGGCACACGCACGCATTGGCGCACACACGCACTGGCACGCACACGCACACACACACACACTGGCACACACACACGCACGCATGCGCTGGCACGCACGCACACACACTGGCACACACACGCACTGGCACACACACGCACTGGCGCACACACACGCACTGGCACACACACGCACTGGCACACACGCACTGGCGCACACACACACACGCACTGGCACACACACGCACTGGCACACACACGCACTGGCGCACACACACACACGCACTGGCACACACACGCACTGGCACGCCGGTTACGCAACGCCACTCACCCGCTCGCGCCCGTGAGTGGAGAAGCCCTTGAGGGCAATATAATGGCATCTCCAGCTGATGACATCAGTGTGTGTGTGTCAGCGTGTGTGTGTCTCAGCGTGTGTGTCAGTGTGTGTGTGTCAGTGTGTGTGTCAGTGTGTGTGTGTGTGTCAGTGTGTGGCATCACCAGCTGATGCCATCAGTGTGTGTGTGTCAGCGTGTGTGTGTCAGCGTGTGTGTGTCTCAGCGTGTGTGTCAGTGTGTGTGTGTGTCAGTGTGTGTGTCAGTGTGTGTGTGTGTGTCAGTGTGTGGCATCACCAGCTGATGCCATCAGTGTGTGTGTGTCAGCGTGTGTGTGTCAGCGTGTGTGTGTCTCAGCGTGTGTGTCAGTGTGTGTGTGTGTCAGTATGTGTGTCAGTGTGTGTGTGTGTGTGTCAGTGTGTGGCATCTCCAGCTGATGCCATCAGTGTGTGTGTGTCAGCGTGTGTGTGTCAGCGTGTGTGTGTCTCAGCGTGTGTGTCAGTGTGTGTGTGTGTCAGTGTGTGTGTCAGTGTGTGTGTGTGTGTGTCAGTGTGTGGCATCTCCAGCTGATGCCATCAGTGTGTGTGTCTCAGCGTGTGTGTCAGTGTGTGTGTGTGTCAGTGTGTGTGTCAGTGTGTGTGTGTGTGTCAGTGTGTGTGTGTGTGTCAGTGTGCGTGTGTCAGTGTGTGTGTGTGTGTCAGTGTGTGTGTGTCAGTGTGTGTGTGTGTGTCAGTGTGTGTGTGTCAGTGTGTGTGTGTGTGTCAGTGTGCGTGTGTCAGTGTGTGTGTGTGTGTCAGTGTGTGGCATCACCAGCTGATGCCATCACCAGGTGAACATTTAATCACTCACAGTCTGACCACATTCTGCCTGGGAAATGTGTGTCAGTGTGTGTGTCAGTGTGTGTGTCAGTGTGTGTGTCAGTGTGTGTGTGTCAGTGTGTGTCAGTGTGTGTCAGTGTGTGTGTGTCAGCGTGTGGTTGTCAGTGTGTCAGTGTGTGTGTCAGTGTGTGTGCCAGTGTGTGTGCCAGTGTGTGTGTGTGTCAGTGTGTGTGTCAGTGTGTGTGTGTCAGTGTGTGTCAGTGTGTGTCAGTGTGTGTGTGTCAGCGTGTGGTTGTCAGTGTGTCAGTGTGTGTGTCAGTGTGTGTGCCAGTGTGTGTGCCAGTGTGTGTGTGTGTCAGTGTGTGTGTGTCAGTGTGTGTGCCAGTGTGTGTCAGCGTGTGGTTGTCAGTGTGTCAGTGTGTGTGTCAGTGTGTGTGTCAGTGTGTGGGGAGCGATAGTGTAGCGGTTAGCGCGCTGCGCTATGAACCTGGCGACCCGGGTTCGATTCCCGCTCACGGCTAACACCAGTGACGATTATCTGAACCGGTCCTGGGCCTCCCCTAGGTCGACTCAGCCTTAAATGAGTACCTGGTGCGGTGTGTAAACATCGCCACTGGGGAGACAAAGGCGGTCGGGCGTGGTGCTGGCCACTCACCCCCTTGTGTACCGTTCTGGCCTTCATAGGTGCTCGCTAACAGCACTTGCCCCTACAGTCTGTTAAGGCTATATGGGGGATCTTTGTCAGTGTGTGTGCCAGTGTGTGTGTGTGTCAGTGTGTGTGTGTCAGTGTGTGTGCCAGTGTGTGTCAGTGTGTGGCATCACCAGCTGATGCCATCACCAGGTGAACATTTAATGACTCGCAGTCTGACCACATTCTGCCTGGGAGGTGTGTCAGTGTATGTGTCAGTGTGTGTGTGTGTGTCTGCGTGTGTGTGTCAGTGTGTGTGTGTCAGTGTGTGTCAGTGTGTGTGTGTCAGCGTGTGTGTCAGTGTGTGTGTCAGTGTGTGTGCCAGTGTGTGTGTGTGTGTCAGTGTGTGTGTCAGTGTGTGTGCCAGTGTGTGTGCCAGTGTGTGTGTGTGTGTCAGTGTGTGTGTGTCAGTGTGTGTGCCAGTGTGTGTGCCAGTGTGTGTGTGTGTGTCAGTGTGTGTGTGTCAGTGTGTGTGCCAGTGTGTGTCAGTGTGTGGCATCACCAGCTGATGCCATCACCAGGTGAACATTTAATGACTCGCAGTCTGACCACATTCTGCCTGGGAGGTGTGTCAGTGTATGTGTCAGTGTGTGTGTGTGTGTCTGCGTGTGTGTGTCAGTGTGTGTGTGTCAGTGTGTCAGTGTGTGTCAGTGTGTGTGTGTCAGCGTGTGTGTCAGTGTGTGTGTCAGTGTGTGTGCCAGTGTGTGTGTGTGTGTCAGTGTGTGTGTGTCAGTGTGTGTGCCAGTGTGTGTGCCAGTGTGTGTGTGTCAGTGTGTGTGTGTCAGTGTGTGTGCCAGTGTGTGTGCCAGTGTGTGTGTGTCAGTGTGTGTGTGTCAGTGTGTGTGCCAGTGTGTGTCAGTGTGTGGCATCACCAGCTGATGCCATCACCAGGTGAACATTTAATGACTCGCAGTCTGACCACATTCTGCCTGGGAGGTGTGTCAGTGTATGTGTCAGTGTGTGTGTGTGTGTCTGCGTGTGTGTGTCAGTGTGTGTGTGTCAGTGTGTCAGTGTGTGTCAGTGTGTGTGTGTCAGCGTGTGTGTCAGTGTGTGTGCCAGTGTGTGTGTGTGTCAGTGTGTGTGTGTCAGTGTGTGTGCCAGTGTGTGTGCCAGTGTGTGTGTGTGTGTCAGTGTGTGTGTGTCAGTGTGTGTGCCAGTGTGTGTGCCAGTGTGTGTGTGTGTGTCAGTGTGTGTGTGTCAGTGTGTGTGCCAGTGTGTGTGCCAGTGTGTGTGTGTGTGTCAGTGTGTGTGTCAGTGTGTGTGCCAGTGTGTGTCAGTGTGTGTGTCAGTGTGTGTGTCAGTGTGTGTGTCAGTGTGTGTGTGTGTGTCTGCGTGTGTGTGTCAGTGTGTGTGTCAGTGTGTGTGTCAGTGTGTGTGTCAGTGTGTGTGTCAGTGTGTGTGTGTGTCTGCGTGTGTGTGTCAGTGTGTGTGTCAGTGTGTGTGTCAGTGTGTGTGTCAGTGTGTGTGTGTGTGTCTGCGTGTGTGTGTCAGTGTGTGTGTCAGTGTGTGTGTCAGTGTGTGTGTCAGTGTGTGTGTGTGTGTCTGCGTGTGTGTGTCAGTGTGTGTGTCAGTGTGTGTGTCAGCGTGTGTGTGTCAGTGTGTGTGTGTGTGTCTGCGTGTGTGTGTCAGTGTGTGTGTCAGTGTGTGTGTCAGTGTGTGTGTCAGTGTGTGTGTAAGCGTGTGTGTCAGCGTGTGTGTCAGCGTGTGTGTCAGCGTGGTCCAGCAAAAACAACCCCCTACCTCCTCATGGTGCCGGACGGCAACGCTGTGGTGGGCAGTGCCCTGGGGAGAGTGCCAATGTAGATCGGCCTTTCCCTTCATGGTGTCTGTAACCACCACAGCGGCCAAATGGGGGCTCTGGACGGGTGCGAGGGGCTGGTAACCCCTCCACCTTCAATTAGCTACCACTAAACTACGCACTAAGCTGGGCAGTGTGCTCATGACCGGAACCGGTTTGGCAGCAGAGGTCTCACTCTGAATCAGTCGAGCGGCATTATCTTTTCATCGGTTATGTAACGCTGTGTGGAAGCTACCTGGTCTGTCGCTCCGCACGAAGCTTCAGGTCTTCTCGGCCACGGTTATTCCCTCCCTTCTCTACACTTGCGTAACGTGGACCCCCCTAGTGGAACATCTTCGCCGGTTGGAAACATTTAGGCTGGCCTGCCTACGATCCATCCTGGGTTTAACCAGGCTGGATTGTGTGAGGAGCTCACAAATCCTCGAAAGATCTGGACAAAGTCCCATCAGTGAGCTCCTCCATCAGGCAAGGCTGCGTTGGCTGGGTCATGTAGCCCGCATGCCCAGCCACCGCATGCCTAAACAGCTTTTGTTCGGCCGCATCGAGGGGGCTAAACGGGCGCGGCACGGGCTAGAGAAGAGATGGAGTGATGTGGTACAGGAGGACGTGGAGCTGAGTGGACTTGC